TTTTTTACCCAGCCCCCCGGGAATTTATTTCCCTTCCCTTCCCTTTTTTTTTTCCCCCCCCCCCCCCCCTTTTCAACCGCCAAGACGTGAAAGCCAATCAGCCTACTCCAATATGTGCAGCATCTCTGTGCCAGAACTGATTGAGACTCTCAGCGAGCGAAAGCTCAGTGGAGGAACGTTCTGGCAGCCTGCGGGGCGAGGGCGTTCGTTTTTGTTTCGTGCTTTAACTAATTCAGCATCTTTTCATACAAAAGGACTTGAAACAATGGATCATATCAACATCTGAGCTTGTCCTTTGTGCACTCAATTTCCACCTGTTGTCCTGGAATAAAGAATAAAGATGCCCTACAAATTCCTTCCTGGGGTTTTAATGTAATATGGTAACAATGTGGTCTTGAAACGTCTCTCTCACGGCAGATTTAAGTTCCTACAGATCTTTTGAAATTTGGGTAAATCTCTTTTAACGGTGTATTTTACAGTGTATTACTGGTTTTGATCATAGTTGTGTTAGGAGTTAAAAATATTTTATATTTTACTGACAGAGTAACATATACAGTTTTTTTTTTTTTTTTTTTTTATCAACAAGCCTACACAAAATTCTTATACTTACTGTGTAAATGACTACGTTTAAGGGAGTTTCTATTTTCATTTCATCATTATGAAGACCAATGCAAATCGGCCTTCCTAGAATGCAAGAAATTGTTTTTCCGTTACTTCACATTTATAACCAAGGGAAACAGAAATCCATGTGTTGAAATTTAAATGTATTTTGTCTGGATTTTAGCATCATCTGTATGTGAAATCCACATTATCTATTAATGTGGATTTTGTTTTCGCTCTGAATAAATTTCCTCAAATTAAAGGTTGGACCTTTTTTCTTGAGTGTAAGATTATCTGCTGCTATGAAAAAAATACGAGATGGAGTTTTAGTCCATTTAATTTATAAAATACCTAATTAAAGTAGATGTCGGCTCAGAGTTTGATGGAAGACAAGCACATCCGATTCATGTCCAGATTTTTAGGTCCAAATGCATTCAGATTAGTCAACTCGTTTTAATACAGTCCAGTTATGTTCTCACATTCAGGTTCATGTAGCTAAGCCCAAAATTATTGTTATCCCTGACATATTTAGGTTTAAAGTGATATTTTAATTGCATCAAGATGTTTGTTCAATGTTGTGTTTTTTGTTGTATTTATAAAAAAAATATCTTCCTGATTAAATTAACATAGTTTTCAATTACACTCTTTTGAGCTTAAAGTTAATTTCAATTGTAATTATAGTACAGTACAAATACGATCACGTGATGATTTAAGGCCTGTTGGTAAAAAAAAATAATAATTATAGTTTTTAGACATTCATTTAGATACTTTTTACACACCCATAGCAGAGGTGCCAATAAAATAAGAGGGTCTCACAATCAAAGTCTGTAACTCATGCAGTAACACAACTAATCTAACATCAACCAACTTTTTCAGTGGAAAAATTACCGTCGGTGATCTTGGTGTGTTGTGTTTTCTCTTCAGTGGAGCCACTAGTTTCCACCAGAGGGCAGTGCTGGGTCTAATCAGCCCATCAGCAGGAGAACAAGAGAAGCTGGCTGCCAGTTATTTGATTCCTTGAGCGTACCTTGAGGTACCTATTTCCCGTTGAGTTTCACTGGTTGGTTCCAGTGTTTTCTTACCTATGCTAACCTGGTTCCTTGTGCCGAGCTCAAGGTGAGGACACTTCAGGATTCAATCCTCTGTGGTTTCTTGAGAATTCCCCATTTAAGCCTAACTTTAACTTTTTGACCACATATTAACCAAGAAATCCCTAGGATATAAACGTTTAATATTTTGCAATTTAGTGGTTGTTAAATTAAGGCAACATCTATAGCAAGCAGGTCACTGTCTCTTG